AAAGACTGGACAGCCATTTGTCCGAAATGGTGTAGGGTTTCCTGCCTGAGCAGGGGGTTGGACTAGATGACCTCCAAGGTCCCTTCCAACTTTATTATTATTATTATTATTATTATTATTATTATTATTATTATTATTATTATTATTATTATTATTATTATTATTATTACTACTACTACTACTACTACTACTACTACTACTACTACTACTACTACTACTATTACTATATACAATATGCTTTCAAAATTAATGAATGTATCAAAGGGCTTTCATGAGGCAGTCCACCTTCTCAATTTTATGACAGTTTTTCAGAGGAGGTATTATTAAAAAACAATTTTGTAGCATTTGGAGGTGAAATAGGGTCATTGCTTGGAAAAGTGGGTAGCAATGGAAAAGATTTGTCAAAGAAGCATTTTCCAAAATACACACTGCAACCTTGTGTGAAGGTGACCATATTAATCTATGCGGTTCCTCTTTCTGTTGATAACCATTTTTCCATTCTATTTCCTATAGGAAAATTTATATGGATTACAATGCAACCACTCCTCTGGCACCAGAAGTGATTGAGACAGTTAAAGAAGCCATGTATGAAGCATGGGGCAATCCTAGCAGTTCTTATGAAGCAGGTCTGATCAAGATTATATGGAAGTGTTTTGTGAAAGCATCTTTTTGGGATATAAGCATGTCTAGTGGTAAAGGGGGTTCTAATCTTGAAGGGTGATTGGAGTAGCAGTTAAAGATTTATAAAAAAAACATTGAATGATGAATCATTACAGCCTCCAGTCACTTCTAGTAGTAACTATGGAAAGTAGAGATAGCCCTAGTAACATTTATATCTGAATGTTTGCTGTTAAATTATATGTACGTACACATGTAACACTGCATTTTTTTCATTGTTTAAAAAATGATGCATGGGCAAGCTGATTGGAAAAGATGGTAGGATAGCATGCAGTGTTGCATGTGTATGTACATATAATTAAACAGCAAACATTCAGATTTTATATGTTATTAAAAAGCAATAAAATAAAATTTAAAAAGTGTGTAAAATTAGTCAAACCATCAGCCCCACCTGGGATTTACAGTTCAAAGCAGCTGCCTTTACAAAATTAGCTACTCTATGTGTTCTTAACATCTTGTAGCCATAACTGGGATGTTATAAAACCTAGCCTCATTAATACTGTTTTGGGGCAACAGTGGTTGGATAACTTTCAGAGCTGTAATTTATGTTTTGCCCAAAACAGTGGGAAGAGAAGTAGCATTTTAGCACACCTTATGGCTAGTGTTTTAGTGTTGTTTATTTAAGGAGGAAAATGCCATTTTAACATTAGTAGAACAAAGGATGGCTTAAGCCTGTCTCATTTGCGGACTGGAAAATAAAATGAAGATAATTTCATGGGTACAGGACTGAAAAGTGGTGTTGCCAGGACATCTCTGTACAATGTTTAGTTGGGAGAAAAGCCCATAATTAAAATGCACATGCCTTTAGTGCAGTGGTTCTCAACCTGTGGGTCGGGACCCCATTTGGGGTTGATCGACCATTTCACGGGGGTCGCCAAGCAAGGCTGTCCGCCATTTTTTTTGTCTGCCATTTTTTTTGTCCGCCATTTTTCCCCCTTTTCCGGCGGGTGCCTTACCTCCCTTGGGCTGGGCCAGCTGGTGGTCGGCCTGCTCTGTCTCTGCCGCTTGCCAACTACGCCTCGGCCGGCGCAGGGGATGGAACCACGCATGCGCGGCGCTCCCGGGCAGGGAAAGCCCTCGACTTACGACCGGTTGGGTAGTCCTCGACTTACGACCGGTTTAGTCCTCGACTTACGACTGGTTTAGTCCCCGACGTACGACCGGTTTAGTCCTCAACTTACGACCTGTTGGGGTCGCGGCATTATAAAGGTTGAGAACCACTGCTTTAGTGTGAGGAACAAAAACCCCAGGATCTACCTTATATGATACATTTTTATGTCTTGCCTCCACAGGTCAAAGAGCAAAGAAGATCATAAATGAAGCTCGTGAAAGTCTGGCTAAAATGGTGGGAGGACGGTTCCAGGACATTATTTTCACTTCTGGAGGGACAGAAGTAAGATATTTGATGTTGTTAACACTATT